CTGGCTGCTGCATGTGTGAAGGGTCTGGGATCTTCTACCCCTGCCATGTACATAGAACATGCAACCTCAAGCATAGGTCTGGCCTAGTGACAACCTACCCCAGGCCCTCTCCCTACAGAACTAGTTCCATGGTTGCCTCCCACGCCATGGCTCTGCCCCTGCTTCTTCCCCCTACAGAACTAGTTCCATGGTTGCCTCCCACGCCATGGCTCTGCCCCTGCTTCTTCCCCTCCCCAGCTGCCTGGCCTGCAGCCTGGGCCTGAGAATGCCTACACCCCATGGACTACTTCCTGCCTGCCAAGCAGCTGGGGACCAGGTCAGACTGGCAGAATGACAGTTTTCTCCGCTATCCTGTGGGCTGAACGACACTTTCACCCATGAGGTGTGAACCCCAGCCCTGGGGAAGGAACCTCCTTTCAAGTTTGTCCTTGCCAGGGTATTCCCCTAGGGCCCTAACAAACCACACAGAATTTCCTTATAGTCACTTACTTCTTAGAGTTTAATAATATATTAACTTCTGCCCTATTTAATCTGCTACATGGTTTCTTTCTTCTGACTGGATTCAAACTGGTTCAGTGGCAACATGTACAGGATTTCATGTAGGTGCTAATTTTCTTACTATCTACTGAGAAAGTGTAAGTATTAAGAAATTAAGTTGTTTGTATATTTGCAACCTATACTATTAATGTCATGAATTAAAATGTACACAGTCCCAATGTTTAAATTGGCAATTTAAAAAAGTTTAGTATTAACAGAAGATCTTAAATGAATGTAGTATAAAATCTATTTTTAAAAAGGAATATGGGGGCCGGGGAGATGGCTCAGTGGAATAAGTGCTTCCCTGGCAAGTGCAAGGGCCTGAATTCAATTCCCAGTTCCAAAAATAGTAATAATAAAAATAAAAAGGAATATGGTCTTTCTTACTTGAATATTTCTATATTAGTAATTATAAAAAATAGCTAAGTAAACCAAAGAGAGCCCACTGAATATCTTTATTTTCCCCCAAAAGGTATCTCTCTTTTTCTTTCTCTTATTCTATCTTATCATCTATTTCTTTCTATTTATCATTCTAAAAATGCTTTCCCTGAAAAAAAACAAGCAGGGGAGAAGTTCTGGACCCAGCCTTCACACCAGATGAACATGTAACATATGCTAATCTTCACTGCAGAGTGAAGAACTGGAGCCCAACGACTGGAAGGACGTTTGGCAGCATTATGAAGGAGAGCAGCACGCTGAGGCTGACCAAGGACAGACCGGCTTTTCCACAGAGGTTGGAATAAAGCTGCCCTGGAAGAGAACAATGCAGGGGGAAGGGAGGAGGCAACCCTGCTTGTAAAGCATGGGGAACACAAAAGGCCCAATCAACCACCAGGAAAAGAAATCTTAATTCACATGTGAATTTCCAGACGAAATTGGAGCAGTATTGAAGACAAGCTTCAGCACTCAGCCCTGGGATGGGCCCTGCGGAGCTTGTCCACACCGTGGGTGGAAACCTAGGATGCAACAGATACCTTTAGGCTTTTAACCAACCGAAGCCTCAGGGAGATTTGCTAATACGAACATGCAGATCTCCCTATCTATGTGCCGAGGCTTTAAAAGTTATCACTTCCAAACACAGGGAGGAAAAGGCACCACTGGTATTAAGTATGACTCTTGTGGAGGAACAAAGCCACCAGCCCCATAGCAAAGAGGAAGATGTCGGGTAGAGCTGCAGCGGCTACGCCTGGGTTAACCCAAGCAAGTGAAACCAGCTTGCGATTGTCTGACTACAGCAGCTGGCTCAAAGAGGTCCCCACTGGTCTCAAAAGAGGCAGCCACAATGGGGAGCCAGGAGAGAAAGTTGCTAATAAAGAGCCCAACCGGATTCTGTGAACCCTTTGCAGTTCATGACCCTAGGATGCCTGGTGAGACCTCCCCAATGGTTTCAAAGAAACTAAAGAGGCTTCTATCGCTTCTGTTGGAAAAAAGGCCACATTCTATTCAAAAGGAGTATCTTGGAGAGCTCATTCATTAAAGCTAATAACCCAGAAAATCTATAGTTTTCCTACAAAATTCCAAAGCTTTAAAAACCGATGCGATAAACCCTAAGTACACAGACTGCCTCCCACGTTGTGAATGGGCCTTGCCCAACCCTGACGGCCTGAACAGAGCAAAGACCGGCTTTCTGGGTGAGAGGACAATCGCCAGCCCAGTCAGTGCCTCTGGGTTTCGCCTGTATCATCTGCTCTCCTGGCTCTGAAACTTGTTGGTCCACACTGCAGATTTGCGTTTGCCATTCTCCATAACTTTACGAGCCATCAACCAAAAATTTTCCCACTTTGTAGGGTTGTCTCTTTACTGTATGAAGTTATTTACTATGTAGTTTTTTTTTTTTTATTTGACATGGTCTCATTTGTTGGTTTTTTTCTTTTTTTTTTTTGTATTTTAGGACAGGGTCTACAGGATCTAGAGGGTCTCTATACGTAGATCGGACTAGTGATCCACCTGTGTTCAGCCTCCCAAGCACTGGGATTACAGGCGTGCCCAACCACGCCCAGTCTCAATGCCGGCTCAGTGCACCCTGGGGGCAGGGCCGGCAGGGCACACCAGGGATGGAACCCCGCCGCTCTGTCTGCCTAAGCAGGCACGTTAATCCACTGAGCTATTTGGCCAGCCCTGCTGATTTCTACTGAAGCTATTTCTTGTGCATTTGGAGTTCTGTTCAGGAAACCCTGGTCCATGCCTGTCTTCAAGAGTTTTACTTATTTTGTCTTCCAATGAAGTAACTTTCTGCTTTAATATTTAGATATTTGATCTGTTTTTAGTTTAGTATGAGATGCAAGGTTTGGTTCTTGAGTCAATCTTCTGGTGTGGATAGCCAATTAAAAAACAGATAACAATGGCCAGCAAAGTAGCTCAGAGGCTGGCCCCTCCCCTGGGGCACGCTGCGCTGGCCACAGAGACCACGCGTATGGTGGCGCACACCTGTGATCCCAGCACTGGGGAGGCTAAGACACGGAATCTGAGCTGCATAGTGAGACCCTGTACCAAATACATTAAAAAAAAAAAAAAAGGCAGAAAACAGAGAAGCAGAACTTCTAAAACAGTGAAGAGAACCATGAGAGGAGGGGGAGCAAGGGGTGGAGAAAGAATTAAGCTGTGTTCTGTACACAGTGACTCCACAGAAGGAATGTGATTGTTACATACCAATAAAAATAAAAACAATCTGGCTTTAAAGAATTAACCAATATCCTCTTCCTTTTCTTCCTTTTCCTCTGTTCTTCCCCTCTAATCCTTTTCTCTGGAAATAATGACTAATACGACAGTGACACAGCAATATAATCAAATATAACCAACTTCAACTTCCACTAATGGGCAGAAAGTGGGCCCACTTCAGTTTAGCTCTCTTTTCCTTGGATGAGGCTACCCCTAAAAGCAATCTTCTATTTCATCTTCAATTAGCCTTCAGACCAGCAGGCAAAGCACAGCCTGAGAAGCCCTGATCCTCCTTCCTTTAAGGGCAAACAGGCATATGCACTATTTAGTTTAACCTGATTAACTTATACAGTTACACTGAGTCCAGTTATCCTATAACAAAATGACAGGATTCACACACATCCAGAGGTTGTTCTTCAGATATTTCCACTACATTTTCTACTAAACTTTGTCAGCACGATTTTTCCCACTTTCACTGATTACCAATACTTTACTAAAGATCATTTTAAATATCAATTTTTATTCTTTATGCAAATTGTTTTGGGCTGTGACATTAAATAAAGGTCAAACTGCATTCTGTCTTGGGTCCCAATTCAACATGGTAAAGTCAAGTTAAAATACTGTTAAATATCTTAAGTATTGAAAACTACTTATTTTTCAAATATTTCTTTTACATAACTTGAATTTTATACTAGGATTCATGCGATTTTATTTCAAATTCTGTGTCCCTTTTCTAGTTGTACTACTCCTAAATAGCCCAAGATATCCCACAGAAAATGGCTGTCATTTCTATCTTGGACACCGGTATAGAAGTAACAATGACAATGTAGTATGTTGAGACTCTAACAGGATTACATGCAATCCAGAGAAGAACAGAGGCTAGGAATCAACTGCAGAGGGCCAGGACGGCACAGAACAATGGCAGGAGGTGATGTGGGGGCAGTCTGGGGCAGGAGGCTTGAGGGGGCTGGAAAACCTAGGCATTCCAAACCGACTGTGGTGTGGAAGAGCACAAGAGTGCCTAAGGGTAAAGATTTTCAGAAATTACCTTATTGTGGCTGAAATGGGGAGTTAACTGTGAACAGAAAGAGTCAGTGATAAACTTTGAAAAAAAAAAAAAGAGTCAGTGAGACAGACAGACACCAAGCCACACAAGACTGTATGCCACATTATAAACACTGGGTGTGAAGTTATTATCCAGGAAGAAATGGGGAGAGTTACTGGGAGGTTTTAAATGAAAAGCAAAGATGTTAGAGCATATTTGAATTTTACAAAGACCACTATCAGTACAGAAGAACTAAAACGTAAGGAAAATAACTTGGGCTGCAGGAGAGAAATTTACAGGTCCAAGTTAAGGCAATGGTAAAGGAACAGGTTAAAAAGGATTAACTCTGTAAGACTTGATAATTTGGTACATTAAAAGGGGGAAAGTGGCTAAAGATGATTTCCATGTTTCTGGTAAGGCAAATATGTAGCTGGCAGCA